ACCATCAACTAGGTGCTACCATACATGACCCTAATCTTGGTATTGAAAGTGTTGTTAGGCTTATAATTGATGTATTTTCTACCAAAGCTGACATTACTGGCATTATGCAGTATGATTATATTGATGTGAAGTATGCAGTTTATTTTAGGAATGTTACAGTTTTTGGACACATGTTATATAAGTTTTATAGGTATATTGTGTGCAACTGATAAAGGAAGTCTATTGCCAATATAAAGGTTATTCACCCAGTCTTAGTGTGATATTGATATACCAATGTTAAAGGATAGAGTATATTAAGTCATAGTGTACTTGATGACCTTAGAGAAGATCTATAGCTTGTCAGCTGATAGTGAGGTATAGTCAGTGTTAAATAAATATCTTTAAGCCCATTATTTGTCTTATTTAAAAGGACATTGTTGTCAAATTGGTCACTTTCCCAGCTTATGTACATAATTTAACACGTCATTCCTTTTTTCATAGTAATTATTAAACTAAAAATGGCATCAGGTTTGTCTGTAATTAATGTCATGGAAGTCTGTACATGTTCATGTTCATTTTGATCAATCCAGCATTTTAAGAAATTGTTAATGTTCGAATTTCAAATGTGACCGACAATGTTATTGGTTGTAAAATTGTAATGTCTCTACTTCCAAAAGAAGAGTTCGGTTTCTTCAATGCCTGTGGCTGTGTTTTCGAGAGTTAAGTTTCTGCAAATGTCAACAATGTCATGGATATCATAACCCTATAAATTGCACTGTTTCATGTTCTATTTTGAGAACATCAATCCAGTATTTTATGATAATGTTCTAAATTGATAGACAATGATATTGATTTTAGCAGTTGAAGTAAATTATTCTTCCATCATTTAGTTGGTTTCTCTCGTCTACAGTTTCACACGCATCCAAATTAGAATTCATTTTCCTCTACTTTCACTTTCGATATTTCTCTCCTGGAATATTCGCCAGACATTTTTATTTCATCAGCAAACTGAGAAAATTAATATTTCACAAAAGAAGGGGAAAAAACCGATTTTAAATTAGAAAGTCTAGACAAATCTTAGCTCAACTGATTACTTTGTAGGATATCTGTTTCTATTTTTCTCAAATCTTAAATCTACTGTTTCCTGAAGTTTTAAATACTTAAAACTCTTTCTTTATAACCATTATATTTTTAGGGTTGTTTACGTTGAATTTTGTTCGCTAGAAACTTGCATAAAAAATGTATATGGAGGCATGCATTTTAGGAATCATTAACATTGCATTACAGTTGTCAAAACTTACAGTTGCTAGAGCAAGAAAAGCAAATTTTTCACCATTTAACCTGTACTTGTATGCCATAAAGATACTCAGCACAAACTGTGCATTATTTATCCTTTTGCATTAGAGATTTGCACTTGATTCAGCTTAAGAAGCCAGGCATGCATAATGCAGCGAGGGGAACATTTCCAAGACTTAACTACACTCTTTTTGATTTCCAACTGTCATGGGTTCCTTAATTTTGCACAGTCTGTAACATGCAGGGCCTTGTGTTTATTGTCCCATCAAGTCCGTCTGTTATGGCAAGTGATTTAAGTGACCCTCTGTATAAAAAAACTTTCAACAGCATATTAGAAGCGCAAAATATAGATAAATAAGACAATTAAATGGATAGATACTTCTATATAAATACATATATATATATAGATATAATTGTCATCAATACTTAATGCTGAATGATGAAACATAATGAGTTTGTAGACTATACTGTATTATTTTCAATAGAATGTAAATGTCATGTTAAAGATGAGAGATCACTTATTGGATATTATTTCTTTGATCTTATGATTGAATAAATGGAGGTTTCCATGTACTTTTGTATTATAGATTTCTGTGTACTTAATGTTTCATGTCTCCTATGATATAGTATGGACTATGATTAACAAGTATCTAAGATCTAAGGTTTAAAAAATAGTTAAGATTCTATTGGTTTTTAACTGTTTATGCAGTGAATTCTTCTTTCATTACAAATTTAATCATAAAATAATTGCTGATTTGTGTTGAAAATATGTTTCAGAAATTGGCTGTGATATAAATTTCTTCATATCATTATTCAGACCATATTAAATCCATAGAGAAATGTGAATATTTTATTGATGCCAAAATATTTATTCCATTTTAGCTAAACATCCTTGCATATTTCCAAGTGTATCTTTCTTCTTTGTTCATTGAAGTTCCTTATATTTTTTGTGCCTTCCTTATGTTGAATTGTATTTTCCAAATTTCATTTATATAAAATCTTTCGGACTTGTTTTTCTTCATTGACACAGGAGTATTGTCCCTTTAAGCATGTCAAGCAGTACTTGTTCAGCAGTATTACGCAATGGTCTAGACTACTTCTAATATAAGGATTAAAGTCAAATAATAATTTGTTAAAGGTCAAAATAACTTGGAATGTGTAAAATTCCGAGTCGTGCTGGAGTTAGTTTCCAGACAAGTAATGTATGTAGTATTAAGGTTGGAAGGATTGTGTACTGCCGTGGGAATTGTCCGAGACATTGTGATATATTACTAACTCCTTACTCGGAAACTTTCTGTTTGTATCAGTCTGTGAGAGGATGAACTTCGTGATTAATTTTATCTGTTAACTCTGAATTGTATTGTGATATGATCATACCATATAGGATTTATTAACTATTGAGGTAATACAAATATTTTATTAAGATTATTAAATAATACAGGGCAATGTAAGTACAAATATTTTACTGGTTATTTTTGAAGAAACATACAGATATTTTAAAGATGAATAGAAATTTGATTTAATTCTGATTTTTTATTCAATGCCGATGTATTGCTAAAACCAAAAATTCTAATTTTCTGGATATTGAAATTATTTTGATATTTTAGAAGTTAAGTTACTAATAACTACCCTCTTAGAGAAAATATTCTGGACTCCTGAAAACCACTTCAGTAGGTTTTGCCTACAATTGTTGGTTTCTGGAAATAAGCTTTAAATACAAAAATGGATGATTATATCCAATGCAATTTTCCTCATTGTACACTTAATATGTTTGGTTATCTTCATAAGATCAAGCTGCAAAAACTAAGACATTATTGTTTATTCAATTTCCATAAATTTTGAGGGGTCATTTAAATACTGAACATAGTAGAAGAAGGCATTTCATCATTCGCAGTAGTATAATTGTGGAGTCTGTGATGTGACTTGTGTATTAAAATAAAATGTATATAATTCTGTCTGAGCTGTATTCAAAGAAAGATTTATCATTTCATTATATTTTAATCTGGAAATTGTCCTAAAATCAATTGTTTGTTTCCATGTGGCTAATAATTGAAAGGTATTGACTAGACATTGTATTTCTTGTGGAAAAAGAAAAGTTCATTAGTGGACGTAAAAATGTATGATACAATGAAAAATATATATATATTTTTTTTTTGAGTAATGTTCTTCATAGAATTTTATTTTTAAACTACATGTTGGATAAGTGACCACAGAAAGGAAGATATCGCCTATAATTTTATTTATAAATTATTTTTAAGAACACGGTCTATATGTTTAGATTAGTTATTTGAGATTAATAAATTAGAAAGTAAAGAATTGTATTAAGTCTAGTGTATTTGGATATAGAAAATAGCGTAGATATTGGCACTTTGTCAAAGTAATCTACCTCGCCCCAGACAATCCCAGGTTAACTTGACTCTTGTCTTCCGATGTTCACTTTTCTTTTTAAAACCACCAGTTCCAGACAAAATATTACAATTATCAACTTTCCTTTCTTCAATCACTGTTATAAACCTGGTCTACTACACACACTTGTTGATATATAATTTCTTCACCTTCAGTTTACACTCTTAATCTATATATTTTAGACTTGTCAGGAATATGGCTTGAGTATGGCTTTAATAGGGAAGTATGTGCTAGCTTCAAATAATAAAAATTGTTGAAAATCCTAGTTTCTATTTGATACATTTTCTAAACCTTTGTGCTATATGCTGTGCACGTTTAGGTTTCCCTTAAAAGTTAGAAATGAAAAAGAAAAAGCTATTGTCACACTGTCATAGGGAAATTTTCCCTTGTTTCACACTGCATGGTATTACCCATTTTCATTAGTAGGTGCAGAAAAGTAGGAGTTTAACTCCATTCATTTCATTTCATTTCACAAATGATTAATTTAAATTTTGAATCAACATAAATTTGATATTAGCTGTTATTTTTTTATAATATAGATAAAGAATTATTGAACTATGATTGGGAGTTGTTACCAATGTAGGAATTTAATTATTTTTATTATTCATAATTATGAAATATTCACGTTATTTGTCTGGTTTAAATAGATTGTACAGAGGTTTTTCATGTTTATCAGGGACACTTATTGTATCAAATTGCATCATTCATTTTTCATCAGTGGTTCCTGGAATTCCATTAAATCTAAATGTTTGATGATGTCACTATTAGCAAAGGGCTTATTTTGGGATATTTTGCAATTAGTGACGTCACCAAACCACAGACGTCTTAAAGGGGCAGGTGCGACATTTTTTTGACCCATCATACTTGAGTCTCACAAACGTGACTTTTTAAGCTAAGCCGATCAGTGACAGTCTTCACAGCTCACCGTTGAAATTCGAGCTTCCAAATCCATGTGTGTCCATAAATATCTACGATTGAATGTTAAAATGACGACTCGTTAATATATAGAAAGACATATATGGAAATAGTTCGTAAAATTCCTAGTTTGAAGTATTTTTAAAGGAATAACATATATTTGGCGCATCTGTCCCTTTAACTTAAAATTGGAATGGTGAAATTGATGCATGAGCGTCACCAATACACATACAAAATTTAGAAAAACTCTTTACAATCTCTTGAAGTTCAATATATATGTTGATGAAAAGCTGAAAGTTTATGATATAATTAAACAGTGTCTGAGTGCATTGAACCAGAGATGGTATTAGCCTAAAATTGTTAAAAATTAAAAAATTCTGAAATTGGTATCATTTATATTACAGGTATGTGGAAGAACATGTTCAGAGAACTGGTGTTGCCATAGAAACACAGGGTTTCACTTTTGTCACTAGTGGACGAAAACGAGAATCTTTAACAGTAAGTTTGATATTATATATAAAGTATATGGCCAACTGATGGCTTAAAGAATTTCAATAGAATATAAACTTTGAAAATACATTGAATTGAATCCAAAACACAGCATGAAACATGTAAACATAAGTGATCAGGAGTTTTATTAGTAGTTGAAAAAGTGCAGAAAGCAAAAAATGTGTGAAATTTTATGTTTTTTGCTTAATGAATCCCCAATGTTCCATCGACATAACATCTGAATCAGATGCAAATCATTCACAACTGTTGCAGAATTACTACATAATTTGATAAAATGAACCCCCAACACTGAAGTTATGTATAATTTAAGTATATTTTGTAATCTTTCACACAATTATGGTGGCAATACTTTCAACTTAGACTGAGTAAGTTTTTTGATTACCTGCACTCGTTGGTAAAGGTTAAAACAACTATCTTGACTAAATAAAAATGAGTTGTATGATTGCAGGTATTCACCCTTTAATACAACTATGATAGAATAATACACTAGTCTAATAGACTGTTATCTAATCAATGTATTGACCGCCTACTTGTCTGTACTGGTCATACAGTCTACTGGTCAGACAGTCATTGACTATTATAAGTTATTATTAACTTTCCTCATTATTCTAACTTATGCTGATCTTAGTGATTTAATGTTAGTGTACAAAGTGATAATGCCCAACTGTGGCCCAACAATTTTCAACACCACAGACTGATTTTTATAATGCTACCTTGTGCTGATCATTTCGATTCATCAGGAGGGTACGAGTTCATCATGCCCAACCTTTCATCCAACAACTTGCTTACTGCACCCGAGGGAGCCGTGGTGGCTCAGTCAGCTAGACCCTTGCTTGCTAACCTGAAGGTCCAGTGTTCATTCCCAGTGTTGGTCGAGATAATACCTTCAGATTTTTCAACCCGGATTCCCTATGTCAGTGATGCAGGTACGAGGGGCTGACATGAAAAAAGCTACTCGTCATTCGGATGGGACATTAAACTGAGGCCTTTCGTGCTACAGGCTGTGCATGGTAAAGATCCCAAAATTTCCCTCATCGCACGGTCATTGCCTGTCTTCGTTAGAACACATTGTGTAGAAAAGTAGGACGTAAAATTCATTTCCCTCTGACATCAGAGGTAATAATTGCTTGAGAATGTTGATGATTTATTAATACAGGGAAAGAGAGGTTACAGTTGTGTTCTTGATGGAGAATGCTGAATTTTAATTGTCAAACAAAATAGATAAGAATAGTTGACATCTTGTCTCTATCAGCCTGTAAAGCTGTTTGCACGTGGGAATCCTTATGTTTCAGACGAGATCTAAATAGCTCACTTGAAATTCTGATTTAGTTGACAGACCATGTTAATTAAAAAATTGCTGATTCAACAAAGTTGTAGGTGGTGGAAAATAATAAGCTATAATGGCCTGGTAATAGGATATCATTTATAAATATTATTGATGACATTTTATCATTGTTGATCTTTTATGCATGTGACTTCATTTAAATGAAAATATGAAATTTGATTGGCCATAGGTAAAAAATAGTGTGAAATAACTGCAAAATATAAACTTTGCTTGGTATACCTTTCAAGGTATCAGATATGCTTATTCCTGATACACTTGTCATTGTGTCACATCTTACCTCGTCATTTTCTGGGCTTGGCATACGGCCCATTGGCTTGTCCCTTCCCATAAAAGGCTAATATCAATATGCACTCATAGTTCATTTCAACTAGAACAGCTAGTTATATTTTGCAACAATTCAGGTGCATTACCAAACTTCACTTTCAATTTGCAAATCATGCAGCTCAAATTATTTTTGCAACCACTGAAGTTAGTCCTCGCTCTCTAAGGACAAAAACGATGTTATCAGACTATTTTGGTCATTTTTTGAAAAAGTTTAGAAAACCTCTTTTAATCCCGTATGTTAGTGTACATTCTACAAATACCCTTATTATCACTTTAAAATATGGCTTGTTCTTTATTGTAATGTCATATTCATGCTAATACCAAGCATTCATTTCAACAAAGCTTGCAGTTTAAATTATATTTGCAACCACTCAATTTAATGCTCACTTTAGGACACCTACTGCCACTCTGCAGTGAGGTTTGTCCTTTTAGCTAATGTTATATTCATGCTAATACCAAAGTATTCGATTTGATTTACTGATAATCAGCACCAGTCTGGTCACAATGTCTGGTCATAGCTAGCAATAGATCGGTAGATAGCATGAAATCTATAATAATATAGATTTGACATTGGAATCTCAAGTCATACTGTCTGGTCATTCAACTCTCTATATATTCAACTCCAGTTCAGACTTTGATAGCTAGCTAGACTAGTATTACATTTGAAGTCTTAGTGTCCTCTAATTTATAATTGATATATCTAAATCTTGATAATATAGTTGGTGTAGACTGTTTAAAGTCATACTGTCCTCTTATTTACAATTAACATCTGGACTGATGATATCATGGTGTAGACTGTTTAAAGTCATACTGTCCTCTTATTTACAATTAACATCTGGACTGATGATATCATGGTGTAGACTGTTTAAATACATTTAAAGTCATACTGTCCTCTTATTTACAATTAACATCTGAACTGATGATATCATGGTGTAGACTGTTTTAATACATTTAAAGTCATACTGTCCTCTTATTTACAATTAACATCTGGACTGATGGTATCATGGTGTAGACTGTTTTAATACATTTAAAGTCATACTGTCCTCTTATTTACAATTAACATCTGGACTGATGATATGGTGTAGACTGTTTTAATTTAAAGTCATACTGTCCTCTTATTTACAATTAACATCTGGACTGATGATATGGTGTAGACTGTTTTAATACATTTTAAGTCATACTGTCCTCTCATTCAGAAGTAACAAATAAAGCTTGAATATGGAGTGATAATATACAGCAGTTAACATTATAATGCATAATACATAAACATCATAAACAATATATTATCTTGGTCCCAAAAACAAAGTTGACCTGCTAAAGGGAAATGTGTAATATTTTTGAATATGTTGAAGTGACAAGCAGGTAACCTGACTTTTAGAGAATGTAAGATATATCTAGCTCTAGTTCAGGCTTTTATTAAAGTGTTTCCTGTGTGTTAAATATTGACAAGAGTGTGCTATTGCTGTTACCCTCACAAAATTATCTTGTTCATCAGATGGGACCCGTGTGCTGCAGGCTGTGCACAGTTAAGAGACATTTCTCGTCTACATTAGCCTTATCGGGTGCATTACAGTAGGACTAAAATTGCGTTCATTTCATATATGACTTAATCATTAAGCATTATTAGTTTTTAGCTAAGCTTACTTGAGGACAGGGTAACTTTTTAAGTGCATTAAATGATTTTTCAGTTTCCTTAATTACCTTGTAATAATAATGTCTGAGTAGACCTATAATTAGATTTAAATTTATTGACTGAATACTGGCTAATTAGACAATGTAAGCATTATTGAACCTGACTTTAAGTTTATGGTACTTGCATATTTCACAGACACCCTTCACAGTCTGTTTGATTGTGTACTGATGTAGAGATGGAATATTTAATATTGTAATGTGGCTGTATATTGTCCTTGCCATGTCCGTCCATCCACAATTGACTTCTGAACACAATAGAGATTGCAGTTTTCATACGATTTAAATGATATTTGGTGTGAAAATTTATAATGAGATCTAGGACACGTTCGAATATGATGAACTGTTTTAATATTGCCTTTGCCCGTCAGTTCATCAACATTTCTGTGAACACAATAGAGACTACAGTTTTTATCTGATTTTAATGAAAATTGATGCGATAATGTATATATTTATGAAATCTTGGTCAAGTTCAAATTTAACGAGTTTTCGATGAACAGTTTTGAGTTATTGCCCTTAAAAGGAGTCAATTTGTTTGTGAACTCAATAGAGACTACAGTTTTCATCTGATTTTAATTAAATTTGTTGGCTTGTGAATGCGATAGAATTTTATTCTATATGTGTGTTTGTTTATATCAACAATATCTTGCACAAATTAGATTTTGATTTCATTTGACACAGATAGGTGACTGCCCTTGATATACTGAAAATGTATCAGGAAGATGGCGTATTTTGCTAAACAACCAGTGTTGCATACCATCCAATAATGAACTATGTATTTGTATTTATAAACTGTGTTTAACAGTGTCCGTGAATTTATTTAGCAAGCCAAAAGTGGAAAAGAAGTTAAATGAAAAATTACATGTAGTCCTTGATATTTACATGCCCACAGAAAGTTTGGACATGAAACATTCGAACAGTTTGTCATTCTGTTCACTTTTTTGTGGGTTCTCATTCAGCTTGACCTGCGTCAATTGTTACAGATTTCTTATAGTTTTGATTTGTATGTTTATTTGTGCCAATTCAAAGTTATACAGCTTGGAATCAAAGGCGTATTGTGCTACAGACAGCAATATCATTCTGATTCTTTTTCTCTGTGAGTAATACTGTATGGGCATATTTCCCCACTTTGCTTGGTTATCTTTTAAATTAAATTTTAACATTTGTATATTTCAGGGAAATGCAACATTACATCTGTATCCCCATTTTGAACCTCTACGTCAGATTGAAGGTATGTACTAGAGATATATATATTAAGAGACAGTTCACCATCTCTTGGACCAATCCAACATTTTTTTAGCTAAGCTAATCAGAAATATAAAGGGAAATTTCTAATAATATGCTATTTTTGTGCAGATCTAATATGTTTCGTAAGAGTGTGTTTTAGGCAATGTTGAACTATCAATTTCAATGAAAGGTTCTTTTATTTGTACTGTTTAAACTGGTATTTTGCAAGAATTGAAGCAACTTTTCCTGCATCACATATACAGCACAAAGAATCTGTTGGATTATCGGCCCTTCTTCAGGTAGACTTGATCATTTCAAACAAGCTGCCTGATGAAGAGCTGTACAATCTTCCAGTCATATCAACACCTTGTATCATCATGAAGTTTGTTTGTCATAACAGAAAGAAGGTAGTCATTTCTACTTTATGCTGGCACAATATATCAGTGAATCTATGTATGGCGGTGCAAAACGATACCTCTCATTCCATAACAAGTAAAAATTGGTCAAAGGAATTAACATTTTTTTACACTGACTGGACTGATATTGATGGAAACTATTTTTATAAGGCAGTGGACGTTAACCACTCATACTTCATCACAAAAAATAACAGTTAAAAATTAATATATATTAAACTTTGAAGGTAAAATGTTTATATTTTATTTCCATTACCACATATTGCGATAAATATCGTATCATGACGCTTGTATTGCAATATGTATTGAATCGTGGCATCACTGGCGATACCCAGCACTAGTTAGTACACATTGACAAGTCAAGATCCTAACTTTTCACACCTTTAGCATGTGTGAAGACACTGAAAGCAGGCTTATTCAACACTCCTTACATTTTGAAGAGACCACATAGGTCATAAGGTGATTGTAGTCGAAGATAGAGCAGGATTCGAACCCACAGCGCCAAATCGCTACCAAGTATCGTGTAAGAGTATTGTATCATATGTGTAGATCATTTCAATCATGTCAATGTATATAATAGACTCATCTTAGCTCTTCATTGGGTCAGCTATCGTAATTTAGAAAGAGAGCTGCCAAATGAAGGGCTGTGATTGGTTAAATCATCTTCATTTCATGTAATCTTTCATTACTCCTTTATTGTGTTTAACATCAATGTCAGACTTTTCCTATTAGCTGAATCGATTGAAATTCAAGTCTCGTTTCTTGAAAATTCATGATTTATAGTTTGGAATTGTTATATATTTCATGTAGAATTTTACATTTCAATTATTTTTTTTGCAAGATTGGCTATGAATCCAGCATCTGACTTACATGTGTTGTCAATACATTGTTAAGTGTCATTACCAATACTAATACTAATGAATTGTGCCACTGTACTTTTGGTATTTCATGTTCTGGGTTATACAAAATTCAACCTAGGATTAACCTTAGTGTTGTCACCCTGCAAAAGAAACAGGAAATCTAAACGACATTTGAACAGATTGAATAACCTGTGGGATTTCAGAGCCACAAAATCATTTCAAAAAATCAAATTAAAACAACTATGATATATTTCAGGTGTTATTGATTATTTAACAACTGAGATCTCCACATCAAAACAGAAGAAGTTTAGTTTGGTGACGTTTGTAGATACTCCTGGTTTAGTGGATGGTGATATGAAATATCCCTTCGATGTCAATGATTCTATTGCCTGGCTTGGTAAGTTTTAAGAGGTTGCTAAGAGGATTTCAATTTATTTGTGTGTATCATAGCATCTAATGCATCATTCCTATATGGCAAAAGTTGCTAATCATTGCAAGAATCATGGAGGTCTAACTGGAACCAGAATGATAGAAATCGGTGTTATCAGGATATAATCTAAATATTTTTAGGAATTAATCAGCTTTCATTTTTCAATCTTGCAGGAGACTTAGCCGATCTGATCTTTGTTTTCTTTGATCCTATTGGTCAAGCATTATGTAAAAGAACATTGAATATAGTGGAGAGATTAAATGAGAAGCATGCTGAACGCATTAGGTTTTATCTTAGCAAGGCTGATGAGGCAGGGCATGAGAGTGATAGACAGGTACAATCAACTTTCATTTTACAATTGAATCACCCTGTTCAAGTTAAATGATATTTTAGTCCAGTTGATGAGGCGGGGCATGAGAGTGATAGACAGGTACAATCTACTTTCATTTAACAAATAAATCAGCTGGTTAAGTGAAAGATATTTTAGTCAAGCTGATGAGGCGGGGCATTAGTGATAGACAGGTACAATTTGCATTTTACTACTGAAATATTGTATATATATAATATATAATGAAACCCCTCAAAACCGCACCCTCTACAAACTGACACCCTTCTAAATCGATGTCCATTGTTTTAATGAACTGTATATTACTCTATTGATACTTAATGTCGCACAATAAACCAGCAACCTCTATAAACCAATATTTTTCCATTGATCTAGTGTGGTGCCAGTTTAGAGGAGTTTCACTGTACATGTACACATAAGGATACAAAAGAGGACTACATTTGTTTAAGGGTGTTTCACCATCGGACATGTTGTATATTTATGTTATATTTTATGTATATTGTAGAGGGTAATGATGCAGATTGTACAAGAACTGTGTAAAAGACCAGGGTTAAATAAAACCGGGTTTGATATGCCTACAATATATGTACCATCTCTCAATAATAAGGTTGGTAATTATCTATTTACTAATACAGTATTTGTTGCCTATGGGTGGAGGGACTTTCCTATAATGATTACTAAATGGCCGACTTGAACGGAATGGGACAATAGACTGAGGCCCACAGTCTCCTTCAACAGTTCAGAATTGGTAAAGATGTAGGCTGATGCAACTGTCCTTTAAAATTTCCATCATTGCACAATGGATGGCTTTTCTCATCTTCATTAATACATTGGAGAGAGCAGAGTAGTAAGATGTAAAATTTCATTTCAATAATTTGTGATGTTTGTAGGGTAGTCGATGTGCCAATCAGATAGAAGAAGTATGTAAAGATGTAGAAAAAACTATCAACCAAACAATTCAAACAACATTAAATCAGTTAGAGAAAAACTGTGATCAAATTGCTCTTTTAGTAGAAGATAAACTCTCACAGAACGAGTAAGTTACTCCATTTATTATTAGTTCATAAGAGCTAGGTGGATATGTTATCTGTTTGGATCCTGGCATTGTTTCAGTTTGTTCCTTGTGCATCATTAGTTACCATGATGTTTCAAAACCTACTACTGATTTTTGGATTTTTTGACAGCATCAAATTATCTGGACCTGTAGCCAGCACACACTACCAACTTTTTGGACATTGCTAAAGGTCTGAGCTGCTGGAAGGTAACTCTTTCCGTTTACAATAAAGCTATGTCAAAACAAATTATCCCTATAGCTTGCACACTAGCAGACTATGCACTTCAGGATGTGCCTCCATCACTAGCTATTTCGCATTGAGGATAAGCATATTGTTTACCAAGTATGCATCATACAAGATAACTTGGGTTTGATCTAAGAAATAGCATGGTTGATGGTCGATGTCTCGTCGCCTGTCTTCATTAACACAATCAAGTGCATCAAAGTTTTAAAAACTCTCAATTCATGTTTTAACTTTCAGTCAACAAGCGTCTGCTAATTTAAAAGCGAGATTACGTGGTATATGTTACAGTATGTTTGGCTTGTTATTACCGTTACTATTATTAGCAACATTTCTCATTAGTACATCTCATCAATTATTAAGTTCTGTATTAGGAGAGTCTATAGTTCTAACACTTACTGTCTATCTGGTGAGTTAATCATTCTACTTTCACTTTATTTTTTATCTACAGTCTAGACTTCATAGTGTTAATATCAAGGGATTTGCTCTGTAAAGATCTTAACTTGTTACTAATTTGACTGATTCCAGATCTAAATTGTTAATATTGTTTTAGTCTTTATCAAACAACAGCCCATTCAAGAATTCTTCAACCCGTAAAAGCACCTCGAGTTGCTAAGACATCATATGAAAATAAAGATCAGATCTAATTTATTTGAAGATCTGATTGGTTTTTATTGTTGTTGTGGTCATAAATCATAAACAATCAAAGAATTTCTTCAGGGGTGTTAACTTACCACTGTATTCCTCTTCCAGGGTCCTCTCGCTAAGTTATGGCAGAAGATACCAGATTCCTATACCAACCATGTTATTATTGGAATACTGTGTCTAGCCTTTATATTTCTATTGATAGCTAAACTCTTCTCTAGGTATGTTATTTTTCTAATTAATAAAAGTTTTTCACATGCTAGCGACACTTGATCTGGATATTAAATTCTCATCATGACACCTTGATTGAAAATAAAAACTTCTAAAGGGAAAAATAATTGTCATTTAAAACATTTGACTTTGTTTTCGGTTGACATGAGATTTATCACCTCAAGTATTGCAACCTTCACCATGGTATTTGGCTTTGGTAGATATGGCACCCTTCAACTTGATAAATCAAGTGTCAGGTGAAACAAAAGTAAAGAATTGTATGTAGTTACATGGTGTTATTATTCTGGCATTTATAATGATTGTTTACTCTTTGTTTTTAACAGAACTAAACCTACATTAAGTAGGAAACAGAAACGAAATCTACTGGAAGTGAGAGACTATGTTCAAAATGTTGTCAAGTCTAAAAAGGTAAGAGTTGTCATTCTTATTACAAGATGGGACATTCTTTAACAAAAACTTCCATGTTGATGATTCAAACACCTGTAGAATTATTGATTTTTATGACTAATGCACTCAAACAAATGTAATCTGTACATAAGACCAAAACCCTAGTCATATATTTGGATCCCCACTAGATATAATTGGAAAAACAACTAATATATCGTTCTGTTAATACACAATTGTAGATACCCATTCATATGTATTCTTTTCTTTTCTTTCAGCAAACTTTATATCAAGAATATCTTCAACAGAGTGTAGCAGAGCATGATATGTAATATGTTCAAAATGGATGGATTGGGATTGGTAACTTGTTACTAAACCACGCAACTGGTTATTAAATTGAGTGACTTGTAATTGAATTGAGTGACTTGTTATTGAATCGAGTAACTTGTTATTAAATTGAGTAACTTGTTATTGAATCAAGTGACTTGTTATCTAATTGAGTAACTTGTTATTAAATTGAGTGACTTGTTATTGAATTGAGTGACTTGTTATTGAATCGAGTGACTTGTTATTGAATCGAGTAACTTGTTATTAAATTGAGTAACTTGTTATTGAATCAAGTGACTTGTTATCTAATTGAGTAACTTGTTATCAAATTGAGTAACTTGTTATCAAATTGAGTAACTTGTTATTGAACTCAAGTTACTTGTTATTAAATTGAGTAACTTGTTATTGAATCAAGTGACTTGTTATCTAATTGAGTAACTTATTATCAAATTGAGTAACTTGTTATCATTGGAATGGATACGGATATGGATTATGATATTGTTTATTTTACTTCAGGGATCTCTTTTTTCAGGCTTAAGGAGATAGGTTTTCCGAACTTTTTATGTACAAACATCATACTTCAAATTGGAATGGTGCAAATTGATGCACAAATACACAAAAAGTCTGGAAATCCCCTTTACAATCCCTTAAAAATCTAATTTTTGCATTTTTGAGTCAAATCCAATGTAACTTGAAAGACGGATAGTCTGACTTCATGTCTACAATGAAATATTAGCAAGATTTTATGTAAATGATGAAAAGGCTTTATCTCTTAGATTTAACAAGCTTTATGTCTCTTGTGTTGAATTGTCAAAATATGACCATCTTGGTGCTATGGGTTAGGTCCCACTAAAGATTTAAAATGCATTACGCTTTATGAGTTTCTTATCATTCTATTATGGACTTATCTTTTGTTTGCTGGAAATGTAAATCAACTATCTATCTAAAATTCCTAAATTGACCTTTTAATTGACGTATGGCTTATTGCTTGCCGTCATCACCAGTGTTTGCATCTTCACAAATTCCAAGTAACTCTGTCTAATACCTTGACATCATTTGGCATTAATACTTATTTAGACTTCGAAACAGCTTGACATTGTAAAGAAGCTGTTTTGGATATAGAATCCTCATCAGTCAGGTTGGAAATGGTTGTTAATTTTCCAATATTTTAACTTAAGGTATCCAGTCATCAAACTCCCTGAACAAGAGTGGTAATATATACACAACGAAAACTTGATTGATATCTAATCATTAAGAGCTCATATCATTTTAACAGTTCAAATTTGGTTACAAAGATAATTTTTAACTTTGCAGATTCATTTCTTTCTTGGATAAGAAGCGCAAATCACTTTGCTGCCTACGCTTCCCAAAAGTTCAGGAAATGAATTCAATAGTCACTTACATCTCTGTAACAGTATTAATATTGACCATTGTCTAATTCAACACATTATACTGCTCAATATTTTTATTAATATTTTTTCCTTCTTTTGTGTAATAGTATTTTGTTTCAACTGGGTTATGGTTCTTCAATAGGGTTATGGAAAGAGTAAAGACATTTGGAACAGTCTGGTTGTTATATTGGCATCTTCAAATTCAACTAAAGCTCATATTATTTTTTTTTTTGGTGAAGCATTGGTAGAATAGTAGGGCGTGAAAACTATATTTTTCATTCAATTTACAATGTTCAATGTCTCTTTATATTTGGATCAGGAAATCCATATTCAGCTGGTTTCCGAGTAAAAATGAAAGCGATAGCCATATTTTCTGTTATTCATATCATTATCTAGTACTTCTAGTCAAGTGATGAACAACTTAAAATGAATCTTTAATTCTATAAATTCTATACAGCAACCTGCCTTCCTCTTGTCAAATAGTGTCTTCATTAGAAATCTGGTTAAGGGTATTGATATTTGAGAAAGTTATGTTGAAATGATGTGAATACAAATTTAAATTCTGTATTTTCAAGTCAAGTAAGTTCAATCTTCCTTACAGACACAAAATTGTGTACAAAATTATTCTGCACATTGAACAAATTTTCATTCACTTTTTCACTGAACTATGGTCAGGAACTTTGACTTGCCAAATTAACAAATATTAGTGCTATTATCATTTATATGTTTCATAGTTCAAAATATTTCATTAGTTATATGTATATCATTCGCAGTTATTCCATCATTCATCCGCAGACAGTCTATAAAACAGTCTGATAAAAGTGTATTTGTTCAGTTGCTTGAGGTAGTTCAATGTTTTTGTCTATTTCATGTGTTCAGAACTCACCAATCTTTGTTATTCAATCATACTGTTCTTGTGCTTAAATATTAATGGTCAGAGATATTTATCTACATACAGACTTTTTATAAATACAAAGTACTATCATGGAAATTTACCTGTCTTTCACTATGTATTCCTAAATTTTATCCCTAAAATTAGCCCTTATTTATCAAGGAGTGCTGGACTGCCTGAAAATACCCACTCGGGATTGTTAATGGCTTGTTTTGGAAATTGTTCCTCAGGAAAAGTAGTGCAAAGAAACTATACAGACAAAACTTACATTTTGGTGATTACTACTTTCGGTTATGACTACTTTTTTTTTTAAATATGTAGGTAGTCAGACTGGTTGTGTTTTAAGTATTAAATCAGACCTGTATGTGTATAAATACCTTTAATCAATTATATATATTATATTGTTAATATTATTAATTCAAATTGGCAGCTCCAATCATTATATATTATATTGTTTATCAGACATTATGTTTTTTGAAGTTATAAAATGGCTATACATGTACGATGTAAATATGTTCATTGAAAATTATATTCTTTTAGCAAGTAATACAGATTTTATTTTATCTACCTTCAGCTCATTCAAAATAGTTTTGTTTGATGCAATCAAGAGGTTTCCTTGCCTTTGTATGTATATCATGGGTATGCATTTTTTATTTGCAGCACTGTTTAAAGCTATTCATCAGAGGTTGCATGGCCTATATATGTGTATCGGGGACACCTGTTATTTCTATGGCAGTCATTATTTCTTCCCTACATTATGACTTCATTATTGCTTATAATCTTGTGATTACAGCCATCCTCTTGAAAATCAGAATGCTGAATGTGTCCCTGATATATACATAATAATGTTGTTCAGCTCCACTCATCTTCACAATGTCAAGGTATAAGAAGAAGTTGGTAATAGCTTAACTGTAATATCCACCTTTGTTGCACCATGAAATGCATAAATTTGATTGGATGGTACGTCTCAAATATTGCGAGCTTGTTGTAGAGGCCTCTGATTCGCAAACTAAATTGTTGCATTTACAAGAAAGATGGCTATAATATAGCTAGTTCGTAATTGCTTGACATTGTTGTTTATGTGAGTTTTGATGGTTCTATTTTACATATCAAACAAAATAATCAACAACTTGGGATCTCTAAAAAAAATTATATATATTTTCAATTTTGATACAAAATCATGAACAGAATTACTATTCACCAATATGATGTAAATTATTATAAAAAAAAGTTATTAATTAATATAATGAATAGAATTTAAAATAGAGTTTAGACCCTGTCTATTATTCTCTAAGAACTTTCTTGACATAAACAAAAACTAGTTCACTTTCAATATCTAATGAAGAAGGAATTCTAAAAAACATTACTAATACACATAATGAATTTCACAAACAATTGAAAATAATGAAGGGGTAACAGGAATACCCAAAATCATGTTGATCCAATATGGAACCACCTATATGAGAATCACATAAAATGATAAAATCAATATAGATCTATACCCTTATCCTCACTTAGAAATACCCTTCATGGCAATCACTTGCAAATAACCAATATAGCATTCATGAAAAATACCTAATAAGGAAACATTGTCAATAGGGGATACCCAATATACATCCATATTCATCCTCCAGAAATATCTTATAAAAGAATCATATACTTGATGAAATACCCTTTATAAGAATCCTACCCAATACCAGAAAAATCGTCCTCCAGAAATATTTAATATGAGAATCCTAACTAATATGAGAAAAATCCTAATAAGAAAATATCCAATATGGGAATCACACTTATCCACAAATACCCTAATATCCTAATCTTGACTAATGAACAATACACAATATAGGAATCATCTTTCTAAGGAAAATAACAATATGAGAAGCACCCGCATTAGGAAATATCCAATATGCGAATCATCCTCATTGAAAAATACCCAATAAGGGAATTGCCCAAAATACTCAATGTGTGAATGACTTATGGAGAAATACCCTACATCTTTATTGGAAAATAAAAGGAATAACCAAGAAGGAATCACACTTAATGAGAAATACTCTATAACCTTTTTGGAAAATATCAGAATCTTGATTAAGTAGGGAGTAATCCTAAAAAGGAATTATCCAATATGAAAAATTCATAATGAATACCCTATATGGGAATCATCCTTTAAAGAAATATCCAATATGGAAATCATCCTTTAAAGAAATAGCCAATATGGGAATCATCCTTTAAGGAAATACCCAATATGAGAATCATCCTTTAAGGAAATACCCAATATGAGAATCATCCTTTAAGGAAATACCCAATATGAGAATCATCCTTTAAGGAAATACCCAATATGAGAATCATCCTTAAAGGAAATACCCAATATGGGAATCATCCTTAAAGGAAATACCCAATATGAGAATCATCCTTTAAGGAAATACCCAATATGGGAATCATCCTTTAAAGAAATACCCAATATGGGAATCATCCTTAAAGGAAATACCCAATATGGGAATCATCCTTTAAGGAAATACCCAATATGGGAATCATCCTTTAAGGAAATACCCAATATGGGAATCATCCTTTAAGGAAATACCCAATATGGGAATCATCCTTTAAGGAAATACCAAATATGGGAATCATCCTTAAGGGGGGTTGATTTTAGTCTTGAATATATGTAAATAGTCTTCAGAAGTACTAGAAATATACGAAAATCATATAATTCCTTTAAAAATACTTCAAACTAGGAATTTTACTCACTATATCTACATGTGTCTTTTCTATATATCACAGGATATCTTAAATTGACAAGTAGTCATTTTAACATTCAAACACTGATAATTGCGGACACATATGAATTTGAGGCTCAAATTTCAACGGTGAGCTGTGAACACTATTACTGATTGGCTTAGCTTAAAAAGTCACGTTTGTGAGACTAAAGTATGATTGGCAAAAAAATGGCCTATCTGTCCCTTTCATATTTGTAGATAAAAATAAAACAATACTATCATAACAAGGGATGAAAATAATGAGATTTCTTAAAAATATCCTACAAAAAAAATTAATATACAACATAAATATGATGGAATCTTCACTTTGGCTTCTGTTATAAAAATGGCATTACTAATAATAAAATATCTTACATAGCCTAAGACAGCTATTTTTGATAGTTTCAAAAATAACTACTTCTACTTTGGTTTTGGTTACACATATATGGCACTATTAATAGAGGCATTTACATCTTACCTCGGACAGCTATTTTTGAAAGTTTTTAAATGACAAGATGCCAAGCTCTATTTTTAGGCTGATAATTGCCAACTTTTAAAAATAGCTATCAAAGGGTAGAATGTAAATTTTGTCTATCTATTGGATAAATTCTTTCATCAAAAAAAATATGAGCCAATCATATTGACATTATAAAATTACAATGAAACATAATATTCACTTAAGACCTGATCTTAAATGATCAAGTAAAATTCTTTCTACAAAAAACAAAAAATTATATTCTCTAAAAAATAACAATCACAACCATGATTAAAAGAGATCTAGTCAGACATGACTGGTAAATACAGGCAAAGCAACAGTCTTGCCGCCAGCTCTACTAGTCTTTCTTTACATGACAAAACAAAAATATATTTAAAGGAAAAGTAAGTTTTGGAAATTTGAGATCACTGATAATAAAAGCAATCTATAGGTATTTGGTGTTATTTATCTTGAAGCTTACTATTCCTTTTATGGTTTCATACCAGTTCAAACCCATTGTTTTAAGACAGTAAAAAAAAGTTTTTTTTTTCAAGGTTTACAAGGATTCTGGTTTAGTTTAGACACTGTGTGCTACTAAATAATATTTTCAGAAAAGATCAAAAGAGCCTGACCTTGAAAATGAAAAAATAAAATTGAAACTAAGATTACTTTCAATAACAATTAATAATAACAAATCATAACAACTTGAAAATATAATCTCAAAATTACAAAAATATTTTAGATCTTTTCTGGGTTTGAGTTTGCTGCTGATTTGAGAGGTATTGGATCATCTTCTACCATCTTTGACTTTAAACTACTGCGGAATTTCTGAAAGATCACAGATGAAAAGTAAAAAAAATACTGTTATTTCACATAAATTTCGGAGAAATTGTAAAAAGAATTCAGTTAGGAAAATTTTGCAAGGACAGCAGCACTAGCCTACTCATTTCAATTTCCGTCTGTCATGGTATCTTTAACATATACATTCTGTAGAATATGCATCTTCTTTTCCATTTCAATTCCTCAGACCTCACTCTAGTCTGCCTTTTCAGGTCAGAGTGATTTTATCAGGTCACATGTTTTATTTGTGATGGCTTGGCCTAGGTTTATTTTCTTATCAAAAAAACTTGATGATGGGTTGAACAATCTTAATTAATTATCTTGACCCATGCCATGATTGAGCAAAACAAAGCAAACATCAAACTCATTGAGCCACTGCTTGTCCTACTCTAATAATATAAGGTAATTGCCTAACCTGCCAAATATTGGACCCTTTAGCTGTAATAACAGCATGTATCATACCCAGTGGTATACAAGCTACAGATAGTAGAGCTATAACCCATCCTAACCCAACGGCCCACCCGGGATACTCATACCCGGCTACCTCTAATGGTTTATATTGAATCATACTAAACACCCAGATTCCCTGAAATAGTAAATTTCTTAGTTATTATCAATAGGGGTGTAACGTAAGTAGGAGAGTATAAAATTCAGATTTTTTTGGCAAGGTCCATTTGCAATTATCAAAATCTGACTCTCTTCTAAGCCAGTCATTTTGAATTGAGATAAAAAAAATAGATGTATCATATAATTACAAAAATTTGTTTTGCCAAAACCTGGGCCTTTGTTCTCAAAAACTCAAATAAGAAAAAAATCCTAATTTTAAGTTATACATTAATCTGATTGGATAATAAAACGTAATTTAAAATTTATTTTAGTGATTGACCAATCAGATGACTGAAGCACTAAAATCATCTTAAGTAAAGTTTTGAAGAATAAGGCCGGAAAAAATGCAAAATTTTGACTTACCAATATGAGAAGAGGAGATAACCCATACCAACAAATAACAAAAAATAACTGAGGTTTTCTACCAGTCATTTCTTCAACATTCTTCGCTAATCTATTAGCACCTGTAGAATTAAAAATCAAATCCAGGGTTAGCGCTTTTGAAATAACAAAAATCATACGATAAACTGATTTTGAAGTTCCTTTGTTTTAAAACTGGCTCTTCTTCGGATTAAAACTGTACGACCTGGATAATTTGAAGCAAATCATAAATAATAAATTAACATTGGACCAACAAATTCAAAAAAATTCTTCCAAGATGGTACATGAGAGGACATATTTTGTACAGATTTGTACCAACTTATAGGAGATTCCTATAAGAACTAAATACATAATGAGATTACCTACCGTAAAACCATGTAATTCCAATAACTTCAAAAAATGCCAAAATCATGAGAGATAAGGCTGCTGCATAATAATCTATGAGTTGGAAAAAATAAATACCTCCCTGAAAATAAAGCTTGATGATTAGAAAACTAGAAACATTATTTTTAGACGTCCAATAATGACAAGAGGATAAGCATAGGTGTAGCCAAGATTTCACTGACATGGAGGAATCCAAGCAAGTCGTCTTCCCTTTCGAATTTTATAGGACACTAGTCATGAGTTTAAGGAACTATAGACTATTTTCTAATCTATGAAGGTGGAGAATACATCTTGCATGACTTTGGAGAAGTAAATTTTCCATTTTATTATTGTAAAATGCAAAAGAGTGCAAGAAAAAATAAAATATGAAGGTAGCTTACCTGAGATACATTTGGTAAACCAAATAAAAACGATACAAAACAAACAATAAGAACCAACACTTCTTTACGTTTTAAATATTTACGAACTTGAGGTGAAAAATGATCTTGTATAGTGGTCACAATAACTTCTACCGATGCAAACTAAAATATCAAAAAAAGGAAGAATATGAGAGAAATCAAAAGTTTCGTCCTACTTTTTCTGTACCTGATGGGGATAATGACAAAATGCCTAACAAATAATGCATGTAAAAATGATTCTGATATTTAGGTTTAGTTTTAAGGAGTCAATATAAAATGACTTATACAACATCATAATCAAATGCCAAAAGGAACCAAATCCATGAGAAGCCTCATCATTTTCTCCAATTTTCACAAAATTATATCCCAGCCCCCATTCACTTTCAATAGGACTGTAAATAATTTGATACACTGACCTGACTGTCTATTCCTAGACAAATTAACATGAAGAAAAATAGAAAGGCAAATAGTTGAGCTGCTGGCATAGATACAAAGGCTTGAGGGTAAATAACAAACACTAGACCAGGACCTATAAAGTAGAAACAAAACAGTAAAATATGGTAAAAATTTAAAATTTGTTGAAAATTGAAGGCATTATTGTAGTTCACACACCACCTGTAAAAGGGTAATGATAATCCAGGATAGATCAATGCAAAGCTGATTTGCCAAGGACCAGCTTGCTGGTAGAAAGGAACCTAGTGCACCTAAGGTTGTTTCTTTCTGTCTTCAAGCCTAAAGCCTTTTTTTGAAAAAAAATAGCCATAAAAGACTCACCTTCCTTGACTACATTTTCTACAATTGTATCCTGATTGTAGGCAAGATTGCCCAATATAGAGAATATAGCAAACCCTGCCAGTATACAGGTTACAGCATCTACTGTAGCCAATATCACTACATCTCTTAAAAAAACATCATAATAATAATTGAACACTGGATGATGAGGCTACTGTCTAATTACTTTCTATAAGAATTGGTATATCAACTATAAAATAGTACTATTAGTCTTAGACTGACTCTACAAACAAATCAACAAGAGCTATATCAGTATACAATGTGGGTCAAAAGTAATATACAATGTGGTCCAAGAGTGATATACAATGTGGGACAAAAGAGATATACAATGTGGGCCAAAAGCAATTTAAAAAAGTGGGCCAAAGCCATACACAATATGGGCAAAAAGCAATATACAATGTTGGCCAAAAGCCATATACAATGTTGGCCAAAATGCCATATTCAATGTGGGCCAAAATCCATATACAAGGTGGGCCAAAAGTCATATACCATGTGGGCCAAAAGCAATATACATCCAATGTGAGCCAAAAACATTAAGAAATGTGAGCCAACAATGTGGGCCAAAAGCCATATACAATGTGAGCCAAAACGGGAATGACTACTTACTTGATAATGTTATTATTAAATTTACTATAACTGGACATAGTTATTAACCCTCCAAACCCCACACCAAGTGAATTAAATGTCTGAGCTGCAGCATTAACCCATACCTGTAATAATATCAATATAAAACAATAATTATCTCAATTTTTATCAGTTTGATACTTTTCACAACTGATTAGGCTTATAAAGACAGGTAATGCCATTCAGTGTACATTGAGGGAAATTTTATCAAGACATTGGCATTAGCTCTTTTTCAAGTGTTTGCAGCAGAAAAACCAATAGTCAAAGTAATATCTTCAGAGTAACAACTGGCAAGATGCTTTCTCAGATATCAATATGGTGAAAATGCCAGACAATATTTGCCATATATAATCTAAACAATTTTTAATTTAATCATGACAATAACCTGTTATATTATAATAATCTTATCTAATAAATCTTGTATCTCCCAAGTATAAAGATTCTATTTTCTAAGTTTTAAACACTTGCTGTGTCTCCAACAAAATTGATCAATTATTGCATACCAGTGACCGAACAGAACAGACTGAATGGAACAGAACATGAGTAAACAGAACATGACTAAACAGAGCAGACTGAACAGAACATGACTGAACAGAACATGACTAAACAGAACAGACTAAACAGAACAGACTGAACAGAGCAGACTGAGCAGAATATGACTAAACAGAATAGACTGAACAGAACATGACTAAACAGAACAGACTGAACAGAACATGACTAAACAGAGCAGACTGAACAGAACATGACTAAACAGAGCAGACTGAACAGAACAGACTGAGCAGAACATGAATAAACAGAACAGACTGAACAGAACAGACTGAACAGAACATGACTAAACAGAGCAGACTGAACAGAACATGACTAAACAGAGCAGACTGAACAGAACAGACTGAGCAGAACATGACTAAACAGAACAGACTGAACAGAACATGACTGAACAGAACATCACTAAACAGAACAGACTAAACAGAACAGACTGAGCAGAACATGACTAAACAGAACAGACTGAACAGAACAGACTGAACAGAACATCACTAAACAGAACAGACTGAACAGAACATGACTAAACAGAGCAGACTGAACAGAACATGAGTAAACAGAACAGACTGAACAGAAAAGGGCTTAACAAAACTGGATTGAACAGAACAAAACTGGATTGAACAGAACAAAACTGGATTTAACAGAACAAAACTGGATTGAACAGAACAGATTGGAATAGGACTGAACTCAGCAGACAGAACAAGAGATGAACAAAACAAGATAGAAATGAGCAGGCAAATCAAAAAGACTACTGAAAAGAACAGACAGAACAGTTGGAAAAATACAGAACTGAACTAAACTGAACAGAGCAAAACATGACTGAACAGGAAGAAAAAAATATAATTATAACAATACAATCAACTGAATAATATACATATAATACAAAAACTCAAGTGTAAATTAATAATGCAGTTTTATTCATATTCTCTAAAAGCTGTTTCTAGAGTGATTCTTACAATAACATCTATCTGGTATTGTCCTTTAAAGGGACAGGTGCGCCATTTTTTTTCACCAATCATACCTTAGTCTCAGAAACTTGAATTTTGTAGCTAAGCCAATCTGTTATAGTGTTCAAACCTCACCGTCGAAATTTGAGCCTTCAATTTCATGTGTGTCCAGAATTATCTGTGTTTGAATGTTAAAATGACGACTCATCAATTTAAGATTCTCTGTGATATAGAAAAGACATATATACGAAAAGTGAGTAAAATTCCTAGTTTAAATTTTTTTAAAGGAATTCTGAATTTTCGTACATTTCTAGTAATTCTGAAGACTATTTACATATATTCAAGATTAAAATCAAAATGGGGCACCTGTCCCTTTACCAGTTTGAATTTGAATAGTGGCAATAGAACTGAAAATCTGCTATTCAATCTTTTGCAAACAGCATGATTATGCATATAACTTGAATAAACCTATCATTTATATAGAATACGGCAGAAAAAGTGAGTCAAGGACGACCGTTGTATCAGATTAAGCTATTTAATGTATGCACTGTCATTACTATGATTATTCAAAGTCAACAACTATTTCTTTTTGTGGGTCTTTATCTATTCCAAAATTAAGTACTCAGGGACCCAATTCACACAAAAAAAACTTAACAATAAAAATTTTTTTAACAATTAATGTATTTGAAAGTTGCATTCAAAATACTTTTTGTGATTGAATGGTAATAACTGGACACTTACATTAGGTTTAGGTTTAGGTTTAATAAATATACCTTTGAGGCTCAATTTTAGGTTTAATAAACACCTATTATATACCTACTGTAGCATCTAATAGCAGCTCCCACCTAGGTTTAATATATATATATATATACCTAATATATACCTTTGTAACTCAATTCTAGGTTTAATAAACACCTATTATATACCTACTGTAGCATCTTATAGCAGCTCCCACCTAGGTTTAATATATATATATATATATACCTAATATATACCTTTGTTACTCAATTCTAGGTTTAATAAACACCTATTATAAACCTACTGTAGCATCTAATAGCAGCTCCCACCTAGGTTTAATATATATATATATACCTAATATATACCTTTGTAACTCAATTCTAGGTTTAATAAACACCTATTATATACCTACTGTAGCATCTAATAGCAGCTCCCACCTAGGTTTAATATATAAATATACCTAATATATACCTTTGTAACTCAATTCTAGGTTTAATAAACACCTATTATATACCTACTGTAGCATCTAATAGCAGCTCCCACCTAGGTTTAATATATATATATATATACCTAATATATACCTTTGTAACTCAATTTTAGGTTTAATAAACACCTATTATATACCTACTGTAGCATCTAATAGCAGCTCCCACCTAGGATTAATATATATATATACCTAATATATACCTTTGTAACTCAATTCTAGGTTTAATAAACACCTATTATATACCTATTGTAGCATCTAATAGCAGCTCCCACCTAGGTTTAATATATATATATATACCTAATATATACCTTTGTAACTCAATTCTAGGTTTAATAAACACCTATTACATACCTACTGTAACATCTTATAGCAGCTCCCACCTAGGTTTAATATACCTAATATATACCTTTGTAACTCAATTCTAGGTTTAATAAACACCTATTATATACCTACTGTAGCATCTAATAGCAGCTCCCACCTAGGTTTAATATATATATATACCTAATATATACCTTTGTAACTCAATTCTAGGTTTAATAAACACCTATCATATACCTACTGTAGCATCTAATAGCAGCTCCCACCTAGGTTTAATATATATATATACCTAATATATACCTTTGTAACTCAATTCTAGGTTTAATAAACACCTATTATATACCTACTGTAGCATTTAATAGCAGCTCCCACCTAGGTTTAATATATATATATATATATATACCTAATATATACCTTTGTAACTCAATTCTAGGTTTAATAAACACCTATTATATACCTACTGTAGCATCTTATGACAGCTCCCCCTATGTTTAATAAAGAATACAACACCATTAGCTAAATTCTAGGTTTAAAGGGACAGATGCGCCATTTTTTTCACCAATCATTCTTTAGTCTCAGAAACAGGAATTTTTTAGCTTAGCCAATCAATAACAATGTTCACAGATCACCGTCGAAATTTGAGTCTTCTAATCCACGTGTGTCCAGAATTATCCTCGAAAGAGAAACAGACAAGTTGTCTTTTTTTAAAGACACTACCATGTATAGAAATATGAAAAGTTCTAGTTTGAGATATTTTTGAAGGAATTATGCGATTTTTGTACATTTTATCATACCACTGAAGAATATTTACATATATATCCATGACTCAAATCAACACCTCAAAATGGCAAACCTGTCCCTTGAATAGATACAAATTATCTACCTACTGTAGCATCTAATAACAGCTCCCACCTAGGTTTAATAAAGAATATAATTCCATCTACAGCACCAGGTAGCGTTAGACCACGTACCAACAATATTATTAACACCACATATGGGAATAACGCTGTGAAGTATACCACCTACAATGAAATAGAATGGAATTTTACACCATGTAACATTTTGGTTTTATTGAGAATATATAACAATGAATATCCAAGCAGTCCTCTCATATAATAAGGCAATCCTTTAGTGAACAGAGTATTCGATTGGGTAAATATTTAATTCATGCATAACAATTTCATCAGATCATGGATGGCATGTGTAGTCACCAGAATAAAAAAGACAAATGAAGATGAAGAAACACACCTCGTAACAGTAACAGCCTAATAGGAGGGGCCTAAAACATATTTCTGTTGTGTGGTATTATTATATATACATTGTAACAGTACTATAGCCTGAAATGTTCAGAAGAGGCCATTATCGTGTTTTTATTTTTCTCATCACAAAATTGCATACATATACTAACCTTACCGGTAGATTTGGGGCCTTTCCAGATACAGAAATAGATAATAATCCAGCCTAATAATAAAATTAAAACCAGTTGCCATCTCATAGAGCCTTGTTCATTAATACCTGATGACCTTTCTAACAGGTTCTCTCTGTAAAATAAAATATAAACCCTGTCACTGTAATCCAGTATCAGGCCCCCCAAAAAATTTGGAGTAGCTCGTATCTAGAATGGGACAATAGATTCAGAAGAAAAAATTGAAGAACCATGTAGATAGGGTATGGGTGGAGATACAGGACCATACACACTGGAAAACATGGACAGAAAAATTCTACTTGTGTCTTTATTTACGACTATTAATTTTTTCATTTAGTCATCTGATTGGTCAAGTAATTTAGTTTATTGTCTAATCAAATTAGTGTATTTCTTAAAATCTGGATTTTAACTCTTTAACTTTTTATGACAACTGGTCTCAAAATCAATAAACATAAAAAATATAAATAAAAAGGTAGACTTACATGAAAAAATCTTCAGTGGGTGATCGTGTATCATTTGGACGGATATACTGTGATATTGTTTGATTGAAAACGCTGGTGGTATTAACCAAGCTTGTAACATTTACCTCTGATGAGTTGACCATACTTTTATCCCAGCAGAACTCTGAATTCCACTCATGGTTACAAGTCTGCCAGGGGAGTTGTGATTGAAATGTATTAAATAAGTAATAAAAGGACCAGGAAATAATTACGATGTAATAGGTTGTAAAGAGAAATGAAATCACAACTGTAGCTAACCCTGCCCCTGAAATACACAAAATATATTACTATATAACAAAATAGAAAGTTTTTCAAATCCCTGAAAACTCACTAAATGTTTTATCATCAGCGCCATGTTTTTTTTTAAACCAATTGTACCTTTTTTACTCAAATAGAAAAAGAAATTTCTAGTTTTAAGTATTTTTGAAGGAATTATGCGATTTTTGTACGTTTCTAATGCTTCAATCACATTAATGCAAAACTATTCTACATATTAAGGTCTTTGAATGGCATTAGCAATTGTGAGTACGATATATAGACACAGGTTTATGGAGCAACAATCACTGGTTAAAGTTTTATGCAAAGTTTCAACGTGTTTCCCCGTCGTCCTCAGGCACATAATGATCATAATTAATATATAAGTTTGCCTATCACTTCTTATCATTCTGCGCTTGAGGACGACAGGGGAAACACGTCGAAACATTGCATAAAACTTTAACCAGTGATTGTTGTTTCATAAACCTGTGTCTATATATTCTACATATTATTATACCTCTAATGAAGAATGGTCAAAGCTAAAAAGAAAAGCAGCAACTTTTTCACCATTTTCCATTGTATAACCAACAAAAACAAGGGACAGGCATAAATGAATGAGAAAATTTATAAAAACCAAAACAGCTATCTTAGTTTTAATTGCAAACAGATCCCTAGGTTGTACTTATATTTCAGTAAGAATAAGCATTTGAGCTTCCCTTCCTTGATTATACTCACCTTTAAAAAATGGACATAGTTTGTTTAAAGCCCCTACTGGTCCCTGTCTGGTGTATTGTCCCACTGCCATCTCCATATAGGACAGGGGAACACCACATAATATCAACATAATAAAAAATGGCAGTAGAAAAGCACCTGAAATTATATCAACTTTCTATATAAATAAAGTTTGGTCTATAGCAAATATTCAGAATGGTTTAACAAATTTGAAGTGTTTTCTAAATGAACATAATATCTAATAGTGTTATTAAATTAGTTAGCTTAGGCTAGACCAATATATTTCTTGATTTACAAATTTTTTCTTGAAAAATCGTTAAAGGCAGGAGGGGGAAAAAAGATGAAATTTGTTTAAAAGGCGGAAGAGAATCAAATAATTATATATCTTATTAATAATGGGACTTTCTGATGATCAGTTTCTTCATTATCAGGAATGAAATTTTGTATTTTTCCAGCAGACCTAATTTTTATTTGGATTTATCGAAAATTGAGGTAGGAGAATCTGTAAAACAAGGATTCATATTCCTGAAATGATCTTAAAGTTAAGATGTCCCAGGGTCTTAACTTCTAACACTGTTTCTAGAATAGCCTAGGGATTAGATTTCAAGAAATATATTGGTCTGGCCTTACATTAAAAGATAAATCATATCTTTCTATTCATTATTCACTCAATTAATGTGTATCATCATAGAAAAAATTAATCAATGCAAAATATCAGGAACAGTAAATGTATCATATGGTATTTTATAATATACTAATACAATATAGTGTGATAATATTCAAATTAAGTTTCAATTTTATAGCTAACACAAAGACCTATCACATCTGTTTGCACTTAGTAACTGGGTGAAAGAGACTACTTGTTGTTAGTTGTTAAACTAACTAGCTTTGATTTAACAAAACACAAAGTTTGCATGAGATTAGAAAATGTATGTATGATTAAAAAATGGTGGATTTCTCAAATTTAATTAAAAATAGGGCTTGGTTCCAGCTAATCTTAATAAGTCAAAAAGATAAAAGTTTTTGGTCTGTTTGAATCATGTTATCTACATAATACTATATTTTATTTATATTAGTCTAGCACCTGGGTTCCCAACCTTGCCAGTCACAACCCCAACTAATCTAAAACCTTTTGAAAATTGCTGTTGCTTATGAAAATTCTTTAAAACACTTGGGGGAGTACTCTTGTCTCAAATTGCTGTAAATGGCGCTTACACGCTTATAATTCTTAAAAAAAAATGATGCTCATGTGTTAGCCAAATTACATGATTGCAGGAACCACAGACATCTGATTAAAAATTGGAAGGGAGCAAATTGATGCTATCAGAGTCCCAGATACACATAAAATTTTACAAAACCTCTTTACAATCTCTTTAAGGCTTTGGGGCATGTTGACCTCTTATCATTATCCGTTCGAGATACACTTAGGGTGTTCAATCATTTCCCTATCTAATCTAGCATGATACTTTCATTTACCAAGATTTAACCTGTACATATCATTGAGTAAAATGTGAAACTTTCTTTTAATCACTTTGAAGGGATGTGATATGATGTTGGTTTCTAGAATGGGGTCGCTATCTGAAAAAGGTAGGAACCCTTGGGTCTAGCATAATAGACAAGGTTAGATGCTGAGTGCAGTGTAGTGTAAAAGACTATAGATGAAAATAGATGCAACGAATACACAAGGTATGTGTACAGACAGGATGTGCACATGATTGACTCTGTCTATTTTCTACAGTATCAACAGTCCCACATCCCATCATCTATTCCTTCATTATCCATGCAATTACCACATTTCAAAATTAACTACACCACACAATTGTCCAAGTTACAAAGATGAATTTTATGGATCCTGATGAACAAAAATATTTATGGATTAGACTTTATTTTCCAAATAATTCAAGTGTCTTACCCCCTCCACTGCGATAACATAAATATGGGAATCGCCAAACATTTCCCAGTCCCACAGCGTAACCTATCACAGCTAAAATATACTCCAACTTTTTACTCCAGCTGCCTCGTACTTCTAGACTCTCCATTTTCTATTCAACAACTTCAGATTGGTCCCATTAGTTTCTAAAATGAAAAAAAAAATCTCAGACCAACTCATATTGGATCAATACCTTTTCTGAATCTTAAACTACAAACACAAAAAAAATTCCTGATGTCACATCTTCCATTACTAGGGAACTTTCAGTTTCAGATCTCAGTAAATTCCACTTTGTAACCAAATAAAAATGCAACACTAAGTTTGCCAAATTGCATCATATTCCTAAATTTCAAAGGATTCTTTAACAAACTCTGTTTATGGATAACAGTTATTTGTCTGAAATTGCATATTCAAATCCCCCCCCCCCCCCCCTCCAAAAAACAACACTACAAATAGCTATCGTTTAGAAGGTTTTCAAGCATGTCTGGAAACTTTCGTGGAAAGATAGAAAAAAATTGGCTGCAAGTTACTAAAACAATATCTCACAGCTATATATAAGGCAAGCTTTTCCTGTTAGCCATCATATATCTCTACATAACCTATAACACTTTTGATTTAAAATAGAATAGTTGACTGTCCTGGCTGTATTCACCTAATCTAAAACCTATCTAGGAGTAACCTGAGCCTAGAAGATTAAACAACTTTTTTCATTATAACTTTGGATGAAAAGATTGTAAAGATATTTTACAGCCATGACTCTACTAGTGAACAAGATATATATTCTTATATTCTTCAAACTTTTAGTCCCAGGCCAAATATTTAACATAGCTCTCCAAATAGGTATACGATTAGTGGCTTTAAATTAACGACTTTCAAAGGTTAGCAATATTTTACTAGTAAAAACCAACGACCACCATTTTTTCTATATAAACATTTCAAGACTCTGTGCTACAAGCCCTTTAATAAACAATCTATTAGTACATACACATTGCTATGCATGGATAGACTAGATGTTTTAAGATATCTTTCATACCTAGCTAACCACCCACTATCTCTTCATACTAGTCAGCTTTTCTATCCAAATAAAATATGAATTTATAAATAATTTGTAAAGAAAATTAACATTAAAAACACCCACAAAAGAGCTTTTATCTGATACTAAAAGCAGTATTTTTTAGAGGAAAATGTTCAAATCAAATTGGGAGTGGTGGGTGTAAAATTCCTGAACTCTCCACACTGTCTTAATTGGGTCAGAAAAGATCTAAGAATTGAAGCTAAAGTTGCCTCAAAGGCTGTGAACAAATTTGCGAATGACAACGACTTGTACATTTTTATACATATTTTATAATCATAATTTCTTTGTTTATTCGTGTTAGTGAGCTAAGTTACCATAAGGCTGCAAAATCAATTGATGAAAATAAATATTAATTTGTGGTCAAGGACAAAATATCACACCATTCCCATGGATTTGAGAACAATATCAGAAGTTCTAACTGGCTCTATCAGTTCACATCCCTTCCCCTGCTCCACAGCTTTGGTAATTTTGTAGCTTGTCATTAAACCTGGGGACAGCCAAACAGTTAATAGCTTCTGAATACAGGCTTGGAGTGCCAATCATGGACTCATCATATTCTGAGCACCAGCACAAATTCACTCCTGCCTGGTAACAATTGATCAACATTAACAATCTAAAATAAGTCTAATAAAAATGCTGAGTCATAATATAAATGGCTCAATTCAAAGACCGGTATATACATAATACTTAATTTGCATGTTTACACTTCACTCTTCTCTACAGATACATGGACTTGGCCTACAGACCACATTAAGCCCAGCGTTAACCAAACAAACGACTACATCCCTGAAAATTAGGCCTGCGACACCCATGACAGACTGTGTTATAGATCAAAATTAAAAGATACGATACCTGGTTCGCAGAAATATTTGACAAGAAGCCGTTAGAGTTCAATCAATATCAAGAAACACATGGTTAATGAACGTGTACGCTACGGTACTTACAAGCTGCAACAAATACTGCTCACAGACCAACAGTTAGTGAATGAAGTCACGTGATATTTGATTGATAATCCGAATCATTCCCACTCGTATTGGAACCAGTTTTATGTAACTATGACCTACTTATATAACTGTACTCATTGACGGCAGATTGGTAGTTTAAATTCTTAGATATATCTATTAGTCAGAACACAACTTATTTAATAGGTCACTTATTTACAAGTATTAACTCAAGATTTGAGCTCAATTAATTTAGATTTCCACTTAATGTGGAATGTGTTGGTTGCAAAGCAGGGCAACCCTACCTTTAAGGAACACCCGATGTCACTGTCTTTCTGTTATCATACAATTTTTAAAATAGTGCTCAGTACAACAATTGTAGATCAATATAGAAATACCACTGTTAGAATAGTACTCAATACATCAATAGTAGAGTGATATAGAAATACCACTGTTAAAATAATACTCAATACATCAATTGTAGGCTAAAGCATATAGAAATACCACTGTTAAAATAGTGTTCAATACATCAATTGTAAATGAAATGAAATGAATGGAGTTTTACGTCCTACTTTTCCAATTGTAGATCAATATAGAAATACCACTGCTAAAATAGAGCTCATTACAATTATTTATTATAGAGCGATAAAGAAATATTAAAACAGAACATACACAAACATGTTGTTATTCAGTGTTTCAAGCTGAAGATCACATAGCGTGAAAATCTGTGCAACATGTTTTTTTAGTGTCTTTCTTAATATTTCTTTATATACAAACTCGTGTAAATTAGAGAGACTGCCTACTGCATAGCTTTTAAAGGCATTTAACGAAACTGTTTTGAAACTAATAATTATTAGTTTAATATTGCATAACTGTTATAAGCATTGAACATGCCTTAGCTTAGCAGGGAGCCGCGGTGGCTCAGTCAGTTAGACGTTTTCTCGCTAACCTGAAGGCCCAGGGTTCGAGATAATACCTTCGGATTTTTCAACCCGGTTTCCCCTTGTCAGTAATGCAGTAAGAGGGTCGTGTGCTACAGACTGTGCACGTTAAAGATCCCTCGACAGTTGAAAATCGAAAAAGAGCAGTCTAATGCCACTGTCCTTTAGTAAAAAGTTCCTTACTTGCACCCTGCTTGGCGTTGCCCGTCTTCATCAGTCCAAATGGTGCAGAACGTAGGTAGTAAAACTCCATTCATTTTTTTTTTTAAGTAGCAAAAATACTTGTAAATTAGCTGTGAATGCGGCAGAGGTTGCAGATTAAATGAGATTTAGATGAAAAAAGAGATGATAATATCATACGTTATAGTTTGATAGTCACGGTATATTAAATACTCAAATTACATCAAATGTGACTTACGTATTATGTGATAGAAACCTCTCTTAATTAGGCCTACATGTCACAGTAAACTCAAATATATATTCATAAGGTCGTGAATTAACTAAACTTTCACCTCTACTGAGCCTACCCCTCAGAATAGTTACAAGATTTAGAAGGGGTTGTAAAGAGGTTTTCTAGATTTTCTATATGTATCGGGGACACTGACAGCATCAGTTTACTCTATTCCATTTTTCAATAAGACGTTTGTTGCACCTGCAATTCCTCTAAAACTAAGTGTTTGATGGTGTCGCAAAATATGCTTTATCACATAAAACCCATCGTATTCAGTGACGTCATCGTGCAATTAGTTTTAGTGGAATCGAAGGAGTCACCACAGATGTCTGATTGAAAATTAGAATGGCGCAAATTGATGCTATTGGTGTCCCAGACACACATAAAAAATTTAGAAACCTCTTTACAATTCCTTTTATAACATTCAAAATAACATACATGAATAAGATTTTATCAGCGAATGGGTGGCATTGATAGATAATATACAAGGACAGCAAGGTCGATTAGGCAAGGACAGTGTAACTTTCTTTAAGAATATTTCAGTGGAGCAAGCGAGAATATTGTAAAAGGTTTCCCAGTCACTAAATTATTGTAGGCGGCGTTGAATGCTGAATATTTACTTTCGAAAGTTCGGCTGTTCGGGACACAGATCAGCACCCGAGACGACCGAGTCCAGGAAATCCATAGTAACTGAGTTTGGGTTGCCAGTCGTTTATTTCAAAATGTTGACAAATTGGACAACCTTGTCTTGACATATCATTTGTATATACGAATTGTATCATTGGATCGAAAACTATACAAAAGAAAAATGTCTCCATCTCCAATTCATATGAACCATCTTGGATTTGTGTCTGCTACGTTTGAATCTGTGTCAGCCATTTTGGATTCAAATAGTGAGACACAAATCCATGACAATTTGTAAAGAAGAAACATAGAAGATTGGTCTTCGTAGGCTAACATTTGGAGATAAATCAATGGAAGGAATTATATTAGCCAACAAGTTAAAGCACCAAGTTAAATAGTCAACCAGTCAAAATATAACAGTCCACAAATGTCTCATCAGTTTATTTATTGTTTGTATTCATTAAGATCATTCTCTAGAAAGAACTCGGTATTATCAAATAAACAAGGCAACACTTCGTCTCTCAGATTATCTGTGAGCTGTTTGGCAATGGTGCGAAAATGTTCAGCCATTTCATGAGGCTTTTGTTCGTGAATAGCTTTAGAGTTTATCACCAGTGTGGCGATATCAATCGGAAGGGTAATTACTGAGATAACTAAACCTCCAACGGCGACAGCACGTCCGGCACCCTTCATTACATTGATAGCAACTCGTGACGTATCACCAACAACAATGGCCGCCTTACCAACGGAAGCTGCGCCAGTGACAACTCGCTGGATCTTCTCGTCCTCGTCTATTTCGACTTCAAACTTCTGGCACATGTTAAACAGCACCTTGAGAGCTTGGTTATCCTTCACTAAAGCTTCGTTGATTTGTGCTTGTCTCTTTTTACTTATGACGGAATCGGCAATGGTAGCACCGATAGACGTAGCCGCAGACGCAACTCCCAGTCCAGCTCCGACAGCAGTTAACACCAAAGATGCACCCATTGTGAAGACCGATCCTATCACGCCACCGACTATCAATCCAGCAGAAACGACCCCACCTGCTGATCCAGCTATGTTGCTGATGCGGACGTCTTTAGCTAACTTATCCAATTCATCAGCAGTATCGTGTAACAAACGAATGGTCTCTTCCCGAATCGTGCAAAACTTCTCATATTCATCTACCGTGGGCTGTGGACAATCTTCTTCCCCGTACGTCTTCTCACAAGTAACCTTGGTCATCTAAAAAACAGGAATACATGGAAATTAATTGAAAACGAATTAGTAAAGTCTCATTTATACGTCTGTTCCGTACTCTCATGATCCATGTGGATGCTTTTTCAAGCACACTTCGGACCATACAAAAACAACTGAAACTGTTCCTGGCATAATCATACAACTAATTGCTAATTATACAATATGCCATACGGATTACAAAGATCGCATTACTAGTATATGAACAAAATATGACATGATTATTTAGACTGGACGTTAAAGCTTTTTTTACACGTAGCAAAGGATGTCGCAAAAATAAAGTTTTGAAAATAAGCATAGGCCTAACGATAATTTTAAGACAAGGAGGAATTTTACTTCCTATAGATCTGAACCTCAATAATAACATACAAACAATCGTTTGCGGGTGACTCATGCACCTGATTGTCTTGCTTAGAGATTTGGTAGGCCTAATTATGACATCATTCTATTGTTAACAAGTACCAGACAACATTCATTAAAATATTTAAAATTGTAAAATGGATGATATAATCCGTCAATGAGATGGTAGGAATTTTTCACTTTTGATTGTTAGATTGTTATGGGCGCTCAAGACGATTCACATAAGCGCACGATTGACGACAATGGAAGGCTATGAGCAGCGATAAAACTGGATGCATGCAAATTCCGACCAAAAATAAGATCAAATGCGTGCTCAAAACCAGATTTTGCGCAACTTATGGAAACTGATGGTAAAAGTGATTTTCAGTCGATGGTTCGCTCAGGTACACTCAATCCAGCGATTTAAACCCCTTCTGAAGCCTCCTTTCTTTAGTAATACAGTGGAGCCTTATTAATAAACGCCGATCAACGGGACAACAGACAGACATAGGCCGACTAGGCCGATTATATATTCAATTAACTTTCATTGACCAAGACAATAAGTAGGCTAGAATATTTAACAATTGATATTGATCAACTAAATACCCTGACTATACAGTAGATATATCTAGCTCTATGGCGCAATATAATAATAAAACACCTGTGAAATAACTGTAATAGTCCAATGAAATGAAAACTGATGCAATCATGGGCACCTTTTTCTTTCATATTCGTCGCAAAGGTTATCAAACCTTTACCACAGGCTAATAAAACCTTAACACAAACCCCCAAAAAGTTTATAACCTAAATATAATTAAAAAGTTCAATTTTAAACGGGCGTCTAAATGAGTTCAAACTGATTACGTTTAAGCATCACTGTAGGCCTGGCTACGAATCACAATGACAGAAGAATCCAAAATTGGGCAACTCAGGGCTTCCATACATTTTATCACCAATGTCAAATGAAGTTTGGATGATAGATCTTTAACCTTATCTAAGATTTTATCAAGGAACCACAAATTACGGTCATCAGGGGAGATCGGTTTTGTGAGTGGGCATTCTGCATAGGCTAATAATGGCACCGACAGGTTTCCATATAGTCAACCATTTTAAACGAAATCAAACCATTGTCGTCTCACTCAGTCTCAAGTGCGCCTACTTTCCTACTTTCTACTAAGATTGATGCACGATCAGTCATCTTACATTTAGATTAGGCCAGCTTGGTGTCATAATGGTTTCACTCTGTCAGTAGCCTACATTTATTGGTGACTTAGATAGAATGTCTACCGATAGATAGATCTACTTTGAATGTGATTGAAAATTGGCTTACCGAGTCAATGTCCCCCGACATTCTTAATTTTACTGTTCTCCTTGTTGATAAAACTAACCATTGATTGTGAAAATGAAAGGCGATATCGAAAAGTATTTTGTGAATACCATTTCATCTAATTTTAGTAACAAAACACATTCATTGAGTCATTTTCCATCAGCTGTTACTATGAGAAAAAAATCGACGTTCTATGAACTTAAACGTAGTTGTGTCCCTTTAGCTGTAGTTGGCTCAGATTATACAGTTTCTCTACGGAAGACCATGACAGTCATTGGTCCAGTTCGATTATGCTGTGAATATTTCTGTATGGAAGATTGTTGCGGCCAAGGTTGACTTTCTGAATGGAATTGAATGAAGTGCTACTTACTTTTCTTTTTCTGATTGGAAGATTGATGAGGGTGTTCAACGCCTTGCAGTGTGCAATGAGGAGAGTAACATAAATTGTAAACGAAAATATATTTAGTGATATTACATCCATATATAGACACAGCTTTATGGAACAACAATTAACTGAAACGTTGCATAAATTTTAACCAGTGATTGTTGTTCCATAAACCTGTGTCTATATATCGTACTCACAATTGCTAAATGCCATTCATGTTTGTCTCTTAGTAATTGTTATTTTGGCGATTGGTAGGACCTGTGCCCCTCAAGGCTACAAAATCCAGATTCTGCTTAATGATCTGGTTTTAACTGAACACGAGATCCCACAATAATTGGAGCCCCTGATGGACTTCCATTCAAAAATTCGCTCACCGATTGATATTCGGGTTAGCTAATGGTATAAATATTGATAAAAAAAAATTAGTGAAGCATGTAAAACTATGATTTAAATGAAATATTTATTAGGTCATAAAGTTGAATGTGAAGTAGTCTAGAACGGAGCAATTAATTCATCATGCGAGCCATCTAATATATTACATTTTTTTACCGTAAATAGATTAGATAGGTTACAGTCGTGGTAGGACATTCTGATTCGGAAAAAGAGGTCCACGAGGTCATTATCCTCGGATAGCACAGGCGATATCGCAGTGCGATCATTGTTAGCGAGTTTACTAGTGGCAAGAGAAATTCCCTCTTGCATAGCCACGGTTTTAAAGAATCGGGAGACTTTCAGGTAGTATCCGAAAAGGTAAAAAAAAAGCTCAGAACAGTTAAATACTTTAAAGAAGTTATCCTTTTAAACTATAACATGGTGATACATGATAGGCTATATATGTAATATATTGCAACCGAACAGATGCAGTAACAGCAATGGCAGGCTATAATAAGTAATGTATTGCAACTGAATAGCAGATGCAGAATAGCTTCTAAGCATTTAGAATAGGTTATCCCTAAAAACTAAAACATGTGGTATATGGTTTTTGTTATATATATAACTAATGAATATAAATGAGTATATTGATTAATAAATTAGTTATATTATCAGGTTATTAATTATATTTCGAGCTAATTTTACTTATAGCTACCAGGATGTTAGTCTATCCTCACGGGTAAATTATTGGCTTAATTAAACCATATACGACCTGAACAGATACCTATACTTCCTATCCTATACTCCTTATATAACACGACAAATTGACCAAATTGGACGAAATAATCAAAATTTTATTATTATGGACATACAGTTTAAAGGGTTTGGGTATGTTGGACGTTAGAAACGCCAGTGGACGTTGGTGCATTCTCCTGTCACATTACAGGCTTTATTAAATCATATATATACGACCTGAACAGATCTCTAACTTACGTAACACCAGTATAAATTAAAGCCATATAGAATAGGTAGGAAGTAGTCATTATTGGGAAATTATAGACATGCAGTATCAAGGGGTCTTAAGGTAATAGTGTATCCTTCTGGGTAATTATTACAAGCTTAATTAAACTATAAGCTTATACGGTATCTTCCCACGAAGTCACTACACGAACTTTACCAATTCCCGGAAAGTCACCGTTAAGGTGTTAAGAACTCATTAACAGTGACAAAAATTCATGAAAATCGTTCACTGATGTTTGGCTCACTGTGATTAAAATGTTGAACTTAATTCACCATTTGATATGCATATGAACCTCAACGGATACCTATACTCCCTACAGTTCTTATGTAAAACTATTTTTAACAGCCAAATTGAATAGGTATGAAATAGTCAAAACTACGTGATTATGGTCATGCAGTATCAAGGGTTAACCCCCCCCCCCACCCCACCCCCTTTAACCCTGTCATTTTGATTTCATATACATGCTATGCTCGAAAAGTAGATTCACCTGTTCTGCATGGATTAATTGCATTAATTAATCGAATAAATGACGTTTTGTGCCATAAAGGTCTTCATATTTATTGTGTAGTGAATTACCAGCTAGACGGGGAGCATGCAGTATGAAATGACACATATTTTCCATTCGATTTAATGTACAGCTTCGCCATCTATATCCTACATCTTATCCATAGAATATAAATGATTTTATCTTATGATTGTGAAGCTGGGCTTACTTGTTTTTCGGCTTTCCAAAACACTGGTTAACAGTGCCCATGAAAGTCAAGCCTGTCCATCAATTTCAGAATCTCAGAATTCATTAGACAACCAAGGATTTTTTCTGCCCGTGTTTCCAGACTTTTATTTAAAAATCAATAGATTGAAGGCGATATTTTGAATGTTTTATTCATCAACGTCATTGATTAGCCACGCATAGTGTCTGGTTAATCGTGCGTTTAATAAAAATAAGGTCAGGTCAGGTCTATGTAGTCCAGGTTATTTAGGTTAACTATGTATTTTCTAGGTCAACTATAGTAATTATTATGGAACACTCTTCACGGTTCATGGAAGGATAGAGAAAAACGTATGTAGTATGAATTAATATTTAATATGATTGAACACTTGATATGATATATAGGTCGTGTTTGAATTTATTTTTTCTACTAGTTCTATTAAGGTAACGGTACGTAATAACTGTGACTAGTATTTATATAGTATATAATAATACCAATCAAATACAATTGATTCACAGACTACTGTCTACTTCTTGGGAATCGCAATGAGGTAAGTGTATGATGGAATTTTGCACAGTTTATTAAAACTATACTCTGTAACGTCATGAAGTACAAGTAGGCCTACTTTTAGTGTAGTTAGGAGGGTATTTTTGTTTCTTATTTTGTCTACTGAGTTAATTGATGAACATTGTAAGGTTTCATTAGCTGTTATGTAGGAAGTTTGCAAGTATATAAGCAATTTTGTTGGGTTTCATTAGCAGTAATGTATGAAAGGAGCAATTATTAGAATATTGTTACATTGACGTATCTATGTTATAACTGTATTTGCTCATATTCTTCTGAATACATCGCTTTGGTTTTGTTACAGCATTCCTTTTCTCAAAATTGAATTGAAATTGAAATCTAGTTTTACACATCTCTTGTGTTAAAGTATATTAAAATTGTCAAAATATAAAATTTCTATATATTATTAGCTTGTGGTAAAAATCAATTGTCATAAAAGAAGTTTCTGTAAATTTAAAATCAGCACGATATCACAGTAATGATAGAGAGCCTACAGTTGAAATATATAATATTTATGTAAATGTAAGATCTAATAAAAAGGTAGATCATGAGAAATCCTAGGGGTTCTGTTAGCGAAACTAATAACTTTTCAACAGCAGGCACAGGGTCATAGGGGTTGACTAAAACCCGGTAAGAATATGAAAGTAAATAGGCATAGAATTAAATACACTATGCATTAAAGCATTGTACAAAAAAACGTACTAATATGAGAGCATGTGTTCTTTCTACTGCACAATTCATATATATCTTATTATTTAGACTTCAAAAGAGTAGACATATTTGAAATGAAAAGTAGATAACATTTTAGCTTTCATCCTTTTTGTGCTTATAAAAAAATGGAGATCTAAGCCTAGGTTCTGCTGTTTCTTTTTGATACAATAGATGGAAAGAAGTAAACAAGGCAAGACAATCATAGTTAGTTTTGGATTAGGCCCATGTTTAATGTTTACTTTCGACCACCGTATTGAGGTTAGGCCCGATAGCCATTGTATACATGCAAAGGTTACGCTCAATTATGACGTATATTCTGTGGTTTTGGGGGTTAATGTTAGCACATCCACAAATCTAGCACAAATGGTGAATCGACATGTTTTCGTCGGGTAGGAACTTCATTGAACTTACACAAGCAAATGCAAAGGTTACGATAAATTATGACCTATATATTCTGTATTTTTAGGAGTTTTGGCCGCACCTTCATTATTCTGCAAATGTGTAAACCGACATGTTCTTCATCACGTGCATACATATCTTATCGTGTGTATAAATCATTTATAACGTAGACCAAAGTCTCCATACCCCTTTTCCGGATTGGTATGTTTACTTTAGCTTAATGTCTATGAAAATAGCTGGGCAATACAGATAGATTAAGATAGGCAAACGTAATCACTCGTTCATCACTGTTTCAGATTAGAAGAAAATTTAAAATAGTTTGCATTATACAGCACAAGATTTGGTGGTCCAAGTTTACTATCGAACACTGAACTGAGATTTGTGCTATCAAACTAAAAGGGGGATAACAATTCATAAAGGGACATAACTATTGTATGAACGTTAAACGCTTGCTGTTTTACGTGGGACGACTAACATTTATTATATTTTTCAAATGTTATTGTGACCAAAATATAATTTATTGTAATGTTATATCAGTTAATATTATAAAAAAATCATTTAAAAAAACCCAAAAAACAAACAGTTTTGTTTATTTAACCAGTGACAAAGTAAGTGCCGACATAATTTTTAAAGTAAGTGTATTAACTTCAAACAACCAGATATTAATTTAATAGACTCATAGATACATAGGCATGTCGTCAAACCTTCCCTTATAACTACTTTAAAGTGGCATGTGCACTATTTTGGTGGGTTGATTTGAACCTGAATATATATAAATAGTTTTCTGAAGTACTATAAATGTACAAAAATCCCATAATTCCTTTCCGAATTTTTTTTCATATTTATCAGATGTTTTCTCTAT